CTACAGGGCTATAGTATCCAACACAGCATGGCACTGGTACAAAACCAGACACATAGACCAATGGAATAGAAGAAAGAGCCCGGAAATATGGCTGCACACCTTCCACTATCTGATCTTTGACAAACTGACAAAAAACAAGCAATGGGGAAAAGATTTCCTATTTAATAAATGGTGCTGTAATAACAACTGCCTAGCCATATGGAGAAGATTTAAACTGGACCCCTTCCTTACATCATATACAAAAATCAGCTCCAGATAAATTAAAAATTGTAATGTAAAACCCAAAACTATAAAAAACATGGAAGACAACCTAGGCAATACCATTCAGGACATAGGCATGGGCAAAGATTTCATGATGAAGATACCAAAAGGAATTGCAACAAAAACAAAAATTGACAAGTGGGATTTAATTAAATCGAAGAGCTTCTTCACTGCAAAAGAAACTATCCACAGAGTGAAAAGACAACCTACAGAAAGGGAGAAAATTTTTGCCAACTATGCATTTGACAAAGATCTAATATCTAGCATCTATAAGGAACTTAAACAAATAGACAAGAAAAAACAGAACCCCATTAAAAATTGAGCAAAGGACTTTTTTTTCAAACGAAGTTGTACATGCAACCAACAAGCATATGAAAAAAAGCTCAACATCACGGATCATTAGAGAAATGCAAATCAAAACCACAAAGAGATATCATTTCACACCAATCAGAATGCTGTTGAGGTTGTGGAGAAAAAAGGAACATTTATACGTTGTTGTATGGTGGGAGCATAAATTAGTTCAACCACTGTGGAAAGCAGTCTAGCAATTCCTCAAAGAACTAAAAGCAAAAATACCATTCAACCCAGCAATCACCTTCCTGGGTATATACTCACAGGAATATAAATAATTCCATTATAAAGACACATGCACAGGTATGTTCATTGCAGCACTCTTCCCAATAGCAAAAACACAGAATCAACCTAAATACCCATCAATGGTAGACTGAATAAAGAAAACGTGGTACATATACACCTTGGAATACCATGCAGTCATAAAAAAGAAGGTCATATCCTTTGCAGGAACACGGATGGAGCTGCAGGCCATTATCCTTAGCAAACTAACAAGGAACAGAAAACCAAATACCACTTGTTAGCACTTATACGGGGAAGCTAAATGATGAGAAAGCATGGATACATAGAGGGAAACATACACTGGAGCCTACTTTAGGGTGAAAGGTGGCTGAAATCAATACAAACTTATTCTCTTACAGCTCTGTAGGTTGAAAGTCCACCGTCAGTTTCACCAGGCTATAAAATCAAGGTACAGGCAGGCCTGTATTTCTTCTGGAGATTCTAAGAGAGAGTCTCTGTGCTTATCCCTTCCAGCTTCTAGAGGTGCCTACATTCCTCAACACATGGTCCCTTCCTCCATCTTAAAGCTGCACCGCTCAGCTCTGATCTGTTTGTATGTCTCCTGTCTCCTGCTCTGATCCTCCTGCTTTCCATTTACAAAGACCCCTGTGATTACAATGGGCCGATCTGGATAATCCAGGAAAATCTCATCTCAAGATCCTTAATTTAATTACATCTGCAAAATCCCTTTTAACATGTAAAGCAACGTTCACAGATTCTGGGGATAGAATGTATTAGCATCTTTGGGGGTGGGATATTATTCAGCCTACCACAGGTAGATACCATTTATTATGTTCTTTTTGCAGATAAGAAAAAAATATAGTAATTATTAATACCACCATATACAATGAGAAACAAGAATTCAGAGGCTAAACAACACAAACTCACAAAACTTAAAAGTGGGCACCAACATATAAATATAGTGTTTCTAACCTTAAGTCTGATTCCACTACACAATTCTGCTCGCAAAGTAGAAAGAAATAATAAAGGAAGGACTCCCTGCTTAAGGGTAAATTTTGTTATTTTCTTGGGTTAAAAATAATTACTATATATTTATTGAATGACTAACTGTAAGTAAGATCCAATTTTAGGTTCTGGTAATAAATAAGAATCAGATATAGTCAGTCTCAAGGTAATCCTTCATCTTTCCATATATTTAAATACCTATAATTCCTAAATGTATATATACAGTACTGACCGAATTTAATTACCTCATTAACATTCCCAGTTTCATGTTCTATAAACTTTTCCAATGTGCCAAGTCTGAAACTGAACTCTTGATTTTTTCCTACAAATGTTCACCCCCCATCCTTCACCACCTCAGGAAATGATCTCACCATACTCCCCTCCCTCACCACCTACAGCTAATCAATAATTGAATACCTTAAATTTTGCCCCCCAAATATATCTTAATTCCATCTACTTCTCCTTATTGGCATTGCCTCCAGATTCCTAATTAGTATCTTCATTTTCATTCTTATATCGCCTCAATCTAACCTCCATACATAAACTAGCATGATCTATTTAGAATATAAATGAGATTATGCCAATTGCATGTTAAAATACTTCAGTAACTACCTACAGCACTTATAATAAAATTGAAACTTTTCTTGCTATACTGGGTAACCATATAACATGGCCTGTTTAGGACTCTTCTGCGCCTGTCGTCCTGGTATAACTAGTAATACAGTCTCCTTTCATGCCTAAAATTATTCCATTTGGGTGATAAGTCTCTTGATCACCACATCTGTAGAGCCCTGTGTGATCTTTCTTTTGCCTAAATATCATTCTCATAGCTGAAGCCTTCTCCCTCAGGACTCAGTGTCTTCTCTTAAGTCTCCCCAGCAGTTGGCTTTCTTTAAAATCTGAACCACAGTATTCAATCCTATAGTTAATTCTTTCATTTGTTGAATGTCTGTTCAATCCATTAGGGTGCACAGAGAGAACCAGGCCCATATCTGCAGTGTTTACACCTACATACCTCAGTCAGCATCGTATCTGAAACATGATAAAAGCCCACCAGTACCTGTTGAAGATTAATGACTAAACAAGCTTACCATATAGGCAGAGAGATAGTAAATGTATAGTATGACATTTACATAATATAAATGTGTTCAAGATATCAACTACCAAAATTAATACGAAAAAGAAAATAATTACTTCTGCCTGCAGAGAAGGGTTGATTAGGAAAGACTCCATAAATGGAGGATGCCCAAACAGTGCTGATGGATGAATAAGATCATGCAGTGTGAACCAAGAAGCCAAGAGAAGACTTCTAAGCTTAGTTGATGGCATTTGCAAAGGCAAAAAGGTATAAAACTGTGATTATTCAGGAAACCCAAAGTAGTTTATCGTATTAGAGTGTACAATGTTGTATAAATGATATATTAATAACACAAACCTTAATGACAAAACCTAAATTGTAGAGACCACAGCAGAAAATACAGAGAGCGCTAACAAATTTGAAGCTTAGCGTTTTTGTTTTTGTTTTTTGAGACGGAGTTTCCCTCTTGTTGCCCAGACTGGAGTGCAATGGTGTGATCTCAGCTCACTGCAACCTCCACCTCCCAGGTTCAAGCAATTCTTCTGCCTCAGCCTCCTCAGTAGCTGGGATTACAGGCATGTGCCACCACGCCCAGCTAATTTTGTATTTTCAGTAGAGACAGAGTTTCTCCATGTTGGTCAGGTTGGTCTCAAACTCCTGACCTCAGGTGATCCACCTGCCTTGGCCTCCCAAAGTGCTGGGATTCCAGGCATCAGCCATTGCACCCAGCCTGAAGCTTAGCTTTATTTTCATTTACAGTCCTAGAATGATTTGATAAATTCTATTGCATATTTAACTCACCTTATAAATTATGGAAGTTCTTAGATAAATCCATTTCTGAAGTGTTATATTTCAAACTTCATTGCCATAAAGAATCCTCACAGTTGCAGTTATTACATAACAGTCACAAAATTATAATACATAGTCCGTAAGGAAACTCTACTGAGAGTTACGGTGTATAGAACTAAGCTGAGCTTTTCTGTCAAATAAATTTTTTTGTTTAAATTTTAATAATTATGTCAAATTTCTTTTTTCTATAATGTGCTTTTATTCATTATTAGATGATTAAAAAAACAGGTCAAAGCCACTATGTTATGATTTTGGCATTTATATTGTACAAATGTATAGATAAAAATATCTATGGAATCTGAAAAGACTTCGGGTCGTATTTTGATGTAACTAAGAGTTGACACAATACTCATCATTGACCTATTTCTCTAGAAACAGAAAACTATCAAGAAAGATATATGGTATAGATAATCACAAATATTTGCTTTGAACATTTAGAATGTATACTAGAAGTTGTGCACTAGCAGACTGCATGACAAGAATGCTTTGTTTAGACTCCAAAGTGTTTCAAAAATTGACTTAAGATTTAAATTTGGGAAATCACAAAAAATCCAGAATTCTGGCCACTCTTAAAAAAATTAAAAGATAAGATAACTCTAGTAATATTCCCCAAATCACAGTCCCCTAGAAACTAGTAGATGCTCTCTGGTTAACCACAGACCCACCTCCCCCATCACCCCAGACCGCTGCCCTTATATGTGTGACATGCCTAAGCCTTTGTGTAAGACTAAAACTCTCAACCATTAACGACCAATTGAAAATCATCAAAAAGACTAAGAATATATTTAGATTTTGCTCATTTGTAATATTGAGAATTAAACACACAGGCTATTTTTAAAAATCGTCTAAATATGAAAAAATTCAGACATTCAACCCTTTCTTTCTTGGATTTTATCAGTTAACTAGACTGTACCAAAACAAATAAGCCAAATAAATCCAGTATAACAATTCCTCCCCCTGACTAGCAAGCTCTTTGTTTTGGCATCTAGTCCATTCAATTAAAATTATACAACCCAATAATCTAAAAATATATATCATGCATTTAATCTGTAGTTTACCTAAAAGTACCTGTCTGTTATGTATATTTCAATGTAGCAAATATACTTTATTTTATTTAAATGGGAAGACAGCATATTTTCAATATGAAAACTGTTCCAGGTTAGGAAATAGTAACCTGAAAATGTCATTCCCATAGAAATTGACAGGCACTTACCTTAGCTATCTGGACACACCAGTTAAGCAGCAGTTGTGATCCAATGTTATCCTTGTGCTCGTGGACATACTCCAACAGGCAGCCATGGGGCATAAGTTGAGTAACCAGCTGGATGGTTGGGCTCAGACACACACCTAGCAACCGGACTAGGTGCGGATGATCCATACTTGCCATGATCAGAGCTTCCTGTAAGAAAAAAATGCAATACCATCATTTCTACTCAAATTTTCTCGGATTTAGAGTTACTTCCATTGTACCAATGGTGCTGATGATTTTTTTAAAATGTACTCAATGTAGTCAATCAAAATCAAAAGATATTATTTCAGTTATTCTATCTTTAAAGTGATTTAATTCAATAAAATTAAATAAACAACAAAGTCTCTACATGCATTTACATGGAAGCTGTTACACAATAACTGCCTGTAAAATTAATAGCAGTATTTTCTCCTTTGTAATATAAGCAATATGAGATTTTATTTATTGCCAAGTAAGTCAAAATGAATTCCAGCTTATATTATGGATTTTTAACCTTTGACCTTTGCTCTAAAGTAAAATAATCTACACAAATTTAGTTAGTTGCGAGTAGAGTAAGTAAGGTGAGTTGAACTTCGAAGTTACCCATTATTGGTGGAGAGTTGGACAGCTTACAATGGTGTCAAGTATAAATCATAAATACGGAAATGTAGATAATTACAAGTATTATATCTATCGTCAATTTATATAAAATAATAAACATTTTAATAAGACATGTTGTTTCATAATTTTACCTTTCCTCAAATTTATTTCATTTTCAAAATTATAAGTGATGCCTTAATTCATAGATTCATAAAATTTGAGAGCTGAGACTATAAAAATTTGACTACTCCGACTTTTCTATTTCATAAAATGAGAAAACTGAGTTACAATTTTGCATCAGAATCATAAAGGCACCACTGCTTAATGGGGATAAAAGTGGACATATGATAGTTATTTAGTGCATCCCAGTTAGCTTCAAATAAAAAGTTATTGTAAGACCCTTTATTGTAATTTGAAATAGATATAACTGTAAAATAAATGTTTATGTACTTTGTTATGGTTTGATTTGTGCTTTTATATTATGAAAGCCAATAAAATATTGTTCATCTCCTATGAAAACAATAGTAAATTTTTGCTTTTTAAAAGCTATGTAATATCACCTACATACTATTCTTGTCAATAATATTTAATTTGAATCTAATCATAAGGAAAAAATCAGACAAATCCATACTGTAGGACATTCTGCAAAGAAACTGGCTTGTACTTATTTAAAATGTCAATATTAGGAGAAACATAAAAGAAGGGTGTGATGTTCAAACTAACATTTATTACAGAAATAGGGCAATGCTGCATTTTTGGCTCTTGGGTTAAAAAATATATAAAACATTATTGGGACAATTGAGGAAACCTAAATAGGGACTATATATCATGTAATATTATATCAACGTTAAATATTTGAGAGTGATAATGGTATTGCAGCTATGTAAAATAGTATTCTTTGATTTTAGAAGATCCTGAAATCTTTATGGATGAACTATCTTGCATCTGCAATTCACTTTCAAATAGTTTACTCACACAGGGAAGGAGAGAGAGATATATAATATATGTATATGTATCTATGTGTTTGATGTGTGTATACAAATATATACTCACAAATACTCGCACATACACACGGAGGGTGTAATACGTATATGGCAATTGATTATCAGTTGATTTTTCTACATGAAGGTACAATGCTCATTGTATTACTCCTGAACATTTTATATAACTTTGAAACATTTTAAAATAAAAAAATTAAGGACACAAATTATATTGAGTTTCTGTTTAAGATGGCATGGCAGATTGAATTCACAAATTACTTCCCTTTCCTCTCAATTTCACTATACTGACAAAAAAAGAATTAATTTTAAAAGACAGACACCAACAATCATAGAAAGGAGGCAATAAAGATGGAATAGTAAAAGTAGGAAGTGGCTTATCAGTGTTAGCAACTTGGTAAACATAAGCAATCTGAAGCCTAATTTAATGGAGGGAAACTGAGAAGCAACCCAGTAACGTGTAACACCAAAGGCTGAGGAGTAGTAGTATTACAAACCTCCATAAATGGAGCAAAAGAACTGTTTTCAGCAAGATTGCTTCAGAGTACATTTGGGAAACACTTAGACTACAGATCTCCTTCTCCCCTTTGCCCTTAGGAAATCTTAAACCAAAAGAACTGGACTGTGGATATCAGGCAAAATGGAAAGAGAAGTACTCTGGGGAAAACAGAAGTATTACGTAAATTTACGTATGATAAAAATATGGACCATTCTTCCATTCCATCTCCCAAATAGAGCTGTGACTTCAAAATTCTCAAAGTTTTATTTAAACCTAGAATTTTACACCCAGCAGCATTTCAACCAAGTGAATGCGTACAACAGACATGTTCAGATGTGCCAAATCTTAACACATTTACCTTCCGTGCTTCCTTTCTTTGTAAATGTGCTCATAAAAAAGGGACAGGGTGTTAGAAGAGTACATAAAATCAAGGAAACAAACATCAAGCATAAATTATGGAAATACAAAAAATATAGTGAAAAATTTTCTAGAATAAAAGCTATACAACAAACGAAAATAGCAGCCGGCTAAGACTGGAACAGGTCAAGTAGCTCTGGGAAAGGTGACCCAAGAAGATGGAATTGATAGAATGCCTGATGAACTTAAAATACATTAAGAAAATATTTATTTTTCTAGTGGGAGTTGAAGGTCAAATTAGTGATAGATATACAGAAAACTAAGCTAAAGTAAAAAAAGAAGAAATTAACCTGAGATAAAACACAAAGATATGCACAAGAAAGACTCGGAAAGGTGAGGAGCTGTGAGGGGAGTGGATGATGAGAGATTGCTCAATAGGTACAATGTATATTATTTGAGTGAAGGCTACACTAAAAGTATTGACTTCCCCATTATGCAATCTATGTATGTAACAAAATTATACTTGTACTCATAAATTAATGCAAATAAATAAAAAGAAAATCAGACTATACAGCACATCTGGGAATAGTTACATAATCATAATAGTGTAAACATGAAATACTGATATAATCAGAAATCATGTAACTGTGGGAAAATGGGGGGACAGAGGATGCCCTTCTGGAAAGTGGTGATGGGAGTGGAGTGAAAGGTATATAACCATTGCTGGTTGCAAAAAGTTAGCCTAAGATATGTAGACTAAAAAGAAAAATTTAAGACTTCGCAATATAAGCATATTAGTTAAATATACGTAGTTAGGTAACAGAAGAAATTTCCAAAAAATGAAAGTGATTGATTTGGGCAGTGGAAAATGGGGGCAGGGAAGGGACAGCAGGGTAGCTAGCAGGCTACCTTTCATCATTAGTCTTGTCAAAGTATTTCACTGTTTTATGATTACCTTAAAGCTACTTGTGAGGACATTATCCCCTTTAATCATCCCTACTATTTTACTGCTGCTGAGTTACAGAGTGCCTTCCAAGAGTTATTCACAAATATGCAGTGTTTGATGGGGTATGTGGGTTTCCCAGATCCAGCCAAGGATTTATTGTGAGGTCTAAGATTTTATTTTTTCAGTAAGGAAGATAGGGGCAGCATGGGAACATGCCTGGAGAAAGGAGTGATAGAAGACCAAACAAAAGAAGTAAGCTGGTAAAATGCTTTCACTCTCCCTCAAAGGACTTTTCGTTTCTGAGGTTTGGTGGTAAAAGCTGAAATCATTGTTTTTCAGATGGCTTCCAAGTAAAAAAGATACTTTAACTCCCTGTTCCCTAGCTGCCCCAGGGAACAACAAGAGTCACAGAACAGAGATGAGTTTCTATGCTTTCTTGCTGAGCCCACGAGGACTGCAATATGGTGAGGACAGGAAGTTCCGGGAGCACTGTAAGGCATCACACCTAGAAAGGACTTCAGCATACTCACATGGTAGCAGTCAGCAGCAACAGGAGTGGGACCTCTCCAATGGCTCAGAGAGAAGAGACTCAACAGAGGGACCAGAACTGGTAGGAAAGATCACTATAGAAACCACAGAAGCATCCTTACATGGTACCAGTCAGCAGTAACAGGAGTGGGACCTCTCCAATAGCTCAGAGAGAAGAGAATTCATCGTGGAGACCAGAACTGGTGAGAAAGATCACTGTAGATACCACAGGGAGACTGCAGCTAGAAGGCCAGATTATAGGTAAATAGGAGACACCCGACAAGTTTCCAAAGTATTTGTGGAGACTGCTTTGGGGCGCGGGGTTTTGCATAATTAACTGAGCCAGAAATCTGTGTTATTACTATTCATGTGGCCTCCTCTGGATTCACAAGGTGAAAACATTTGGTTTCACTTCTTGTGTATCTCAGTAAACATTTGAAATAAAGTAAAGCAATGTAGTTATAAAGAGAGTATGGATGAAAATATTAGCCAACGTAAATGACCTATTATTAACTATTATTTAATCTGGTATTAACTGTATTCACAGTGTAAACCAGAGGATTCTTTCATTGAATTATAACATGCACATGTAAAAATATATACACACCAACAAATCAGCAAAACATCTAATTAGATTAAATCACTAATTTATGTTTTAAGTCAGATACTTAATTAGATATTAAATATTAAATATAAAATTAAATTAAATTTATACTTATGTTATTTCTTTTTTGGTGGCTCTGGATTTTTTTGTGTATATGAAAGTCACCTGTTTACAGTTACAAGTGTAGCTCCACTCCCAGATACTCAGGTTTAGAAGATCTTAGGCATCTCCATTTGTAGCAAGCTCCCTTGTTAAAGGAACTTAGGAAATAGAAAATGTTGAGAACCTCTAGCACATCTCGATGTCTCCATCGAATGTGTGTTTCTATAATCCATTGCAAAAGCAATAACAGGTAATAATTATTTGATCCTTATTATAATCCCATGAAGCAGCTCAAACTCAAAAGTAATTCTCAGCTGCAAAATGAGGAAACCGAAACTCAATGAGAGAACCGGCCCAGGTCATGAGACTTGTTAGTAGCAGGATCAGTAAACACTCAGGATTTTCATTCTGACTGTAGTGTTATGACAGTAAAAATATCATATTTTTTACATCATTTTCATCAGCACATTTCAGTGTCAACCTTTATCTTTTTAGCAAGACAGACTCAAACTCCTCACATTAGCCCTGCCTGCATGA